AACCGATTTCAAATTCAATAATAATATTTGTGTTTTTTTTGTGGTTTGGACTTTCTCCTCCAGTATTATTTAGTATCAGAGCCAGCCCAACCCTAGTCCCATCCTAGGGTTTCTAGCATCCGCCCTTGCCAAATAAACCACAACAAGTTTTTTCTGATCTTTCTTTCGTATATATTTTTTCTCTTCTTTCTTTCCTTCCACAGATCCCAAAACCGTCAAATATTCCTTCAGGAAGGAATATGCTCGAGCCTAACCGGGAAGAGATACGGCTAGAACTTCGTCGCCTCCAACAAAGGCTTATGGATATTGAAGAAAAAATCTAGTGGGAAGTTACCCTCGACCGTGATCTGGAAGGTCGAAGTGAAAACGGAAAAAATATGAAGATGAAGCAGGAAACACAGTGGTAGTTTCTATCAACTTATTACTGTCAAAAGTTGCAGATTCTAGCTTTTGAAGAGGAGAAACCGTTTCACCAAACGAAGCCCAATGCTATTATCCAACGAAACTAATCCGCAAGTCTGTCGCAGCCATAAAATGTTGCATGTGCCACAAATTTGCACATGTGGAAGCAGAATACACAACCATGGGAGTGTCTGTTTCACGAAGCAGGGCCTTATTGAAACCTTGGGGTAAAGAAACTGCAGACATTAAAGAGCAATTCAAATGATAATTTTTATCCGGTTATGTCTTCCCCCGTGGAACCCCCAAAAGTTTTGACAGATGAAGTCGAAGCTCTTCCAACCCCGGGGGACTAACGCTGGGCATGGGGGAGGACCGATCAATCTTCAAGGGAAGGTGGGATGCTCCCTTCTTCCCCCTCTTCATTTCCCTCATCTCTTTTTTCTTTTTTCCCTCCTTCCCCACCATTTCCTTTCTCTCCCCCACACCTTTCCTTTCTCTCCCTCACCTTTCTTTTCTCTACCCCTCACCTTTCCTTCCTAAGCACTTTCTTATTTTAAATCCTTTCCTAAAACCTGAAATTTTAATTGTATATTTCTTCCTTATTTTAAATCCCTTTCCTAAAATTTGAAATATATTTTTATTCTCCTTGCTTTTTTTAAAAGATTTTCCTAAAATCTGAAATCCATTTTTATTCTCCTTATTTATTTTAAAAGACTTTTAACTTTTGAAAATCTTTCCAAATTTAATAGTCGTATTTTGAAAGCCTTTCCAAAATATGAAATCATTCTTAAAATAAGTCAAGCCTCTTTATAAATAAGAGGTGATGTGCTTAGTTTGATATCTGAAATGAGGTTTTAGCCTTGACTTTTTTCCTTCAAGGACTGTATCCGACATCGAGGTAGTGCTTCAGCTATCCCTCATCTGAGGTGGTGATAGTGATGTTCCGATTGTAGCTCGATCACGAAGAGATTTTTATCTATCCTTCTACCTTTCCTGTTGTTGTCCACCCGCTTTCAGCCCTACAACAGGCCACCTCACCTCTTCCCCAACAACAGTCGGTTGCTGTTTTCTTCCAACTTGCTTCTAGCCTTATTCTAGAAGGCCGCAACTTGAACAACCCAATATTGCCGTCTACCTGCCCATAATTCCTCCCACATCTAGTAGTCTGCCTTGCTTTCCAGGCCTTTACCATAGCTAATAGCGCCTCCCCGCTCGCTGTCCACCCTCCGAAAGTACTGAGGGGCCTTCTCCGCTGCTGCCCCACCCTCCCAGCTTGCTACTCAACCTTCCAAAGTACCTCCCAACCGCCCGTTAAACTTTCTCGCCACCTTAACCTGCTGCCTCCCTCCTCTAATTTACCTTCCCACCTCTGCCGACCTCCATCACCATTGTGATACACTTTCGAGGTATTGACTTACGTCTTTGTGTTTGTCGTTTATTCCATATTTTGAAGCGTCATTATAATCGATTTTAAATTTAACAGTAAAATTTGTGTTTCTAGGCAATCACTGCTAGTCAGACAACCACCCACAGTTGGAGACCTTAGGAGGACCACACCTCAAGAGTGGAGCATAGTGGGCAGGATCAGGAGAGAGTCACCCCCAGTTAGAAGATGCCTAAAAAGAGTAGCATGCCCGTTATAATCCCATTTAGGAAATACTTCATGCTTGATACTTTTGGACACATTGCTTTTAGTTGCACAATGAGCCGAGTTGTGACTCTCACTGAGCAGGGGGCAGTGGAGAAAGTTAGCGATGAGGAAGTAACTGAAAAAAAGGGCGAGGAGTACAAGCTTCTATAATATGTGGGCGATATGCTTTTGGTTTGACGAGTCCTTTAGACTGAGGTGACAAGGGAGCAATGATGGCTTTACCACAATATATTCTACACTCTTTGCACTATGAAGATAGCAACAAGAATGTGGTAGTTGAAGGAGAGCAATATTATCATCGCTGGAGATAGCAACAAGAATGTGATGTCAACATAGAAGGTGAACTAGTTGAGTATCACGACTCAGAGAATCAAACTAGTTGAGTATCACGACTCAGAGAATCCCTAATCATATTTTTATGACAGGTTTAAGGAGAGTCAGATCAACATTGATAAGATGTGTCTTGTAGAGTTTTTGATTGGGAGACATCTGCATGATCAGATTTGGTGCGATGTGGTGCCAACCACCTTTTGCTGAGGAGACTGTGGCAATATTATCGCTAGATTCAACATGATTGGTATAAGATCACCTACTCATTTACCAAAGGTGGCAAGTGCATAGTCCTACATTCTGCAGAGTTCAGATTACAGGCGCTCTTGCAAACAGAGAGACATCGGGAGGATAAGTCCTAGTGATGACCGAGGACCGTGAGAGAGAAGAATCAGTATTAGACACAGGACATTCAATATAGAGTGAGCTTCAGGGCATCTTGTTCGTTAGCTTGCCAGCCTGACAACCACCATTCAGGGAGATTTAGATTGTTCTCACCTCGGGTCTGGTTGAACCAACCTTGGGTTGCTTTTGGAGAATTCGACATAATACATTGGACACGAAAGTGTTGTTCAGCTTAACAGTGTATCCCAATATGGTTGGACTGATATGGATGTTTAATTGCAAGTGGGAAAAACTCATGTGCTTTGGGGGATAATGCATTCACTGGTGGGATCCAGATGTTTATTGGGCCACAGTCAAAGACCCCTTAATCTTGGGAGATTACAGTAGCTCCTCTACTTTCAACTTGCTGATATAAGCTTCGTTAAATGAGGTCAAAGCTTCGTCAAATCTCCCTCAACCCTAGTAGATTGACGCGAGTGCTTTCCACATAGTCTTCTCACGGTACTGTAGCTGCTACAGTATCGCGGGAAAATATATCATGAGTGACGCCGAAACAGTGTCATTTTCCTTATGCTTTCTTTCCTATTATCTTTCATTCATTTTTGGGCCTTTCTTGTATATTTGGGTTTAAAGGTCAAATTTTGGATTATTTTTTGGCAGGACAATCGCCGATGTCTAGGTTTTCCCGTTCTAGGGCTGTATCCGAAGGTGAGGAGGTGCCTCAGCTGTAACTCGTCCGAAGTGGTGGCCGTCTCCCATGAGACGAGTGGTGCTCCGGCTGTAGCTCATTCTTGTGGGGATATTTATCCTGTTTTTTCCATCCAAATGCCAGCTCCATATTTTCCCTCTCTCCTCCTTGCTGCTGTTGTTGATCCCAACCTCACTGTTTTCTCTGTTCCGTCCCCACCTCGCTGTTTTCTCTGTTCCATCCCCACCTCTGCCGCCATTGCTCAGCAACTAGTTTCTTTTGCTATGTCCTGCCATTAGACATCATCACCATAGTTCAACAATCCCTTCCCTCGTTGTTTTATTGCTGTCCAACCATCCGACAATGCCACGTAGCCCTACAATTCCTCTTCTTGCTGCCGTGAGCCTATCAAACCCTTCCAATTTCCAACACCTTGCCACCACCTCATTGCTGCAGCCACCTTACCATATCCTACTGTCAACCCATTTTCCTGACATCCGACAGCCAACTGCAGCCATCCTTTGCTGCATTGCGACCATTCCTCCACTTCCATGGGTGATTTTCCTCCTTAAGCTGCAGCACCACCACCCTCGACTTAAGGTCTAGTTGTGCTTGTATCGTGTGTTTTGCCATTTCTTAGTTTCGAGTGACTTTGGTTTTAATTCCTATTTGATTTCAATAATAAAAATTACATTTTTGTTATCATTTGGGTTTACTCTGGTATCACGAGGTCTAATATTTTTTTAAGGTTTTTCCTTTCTAACATTAGAATTTATCATTCTTTTAATGCAGTTATGCAGCCAATTCGAGGGACCATGAAAGCGCAAATTGTTGTTGTTGTTCTTTTTTTTATTTGTTTCTATAGTTATAATTTATGCATGTCAGGATATGCTTCTGTTTCTTTGATTGGCACTTTTACTGGTAGCATTTGTAGATGATCCATCCGATTCACTATGGAGATATCATTTTCCTTCAATAGCTTCCACGATTTTATTCTTCAGAGGAGAGATCTTTCAGCATTAGAAGATGCGATACATTACAATTAGTTAATTTTTTTGTAATGCCTCCATTTTTACGGGTCTCACCCTATGCGTCAACCTAGAAGATAAAGATATTGGAACAAGCCCTTATTCAAGCCTTTCTTGGCCCATTATCTTTTATGGAAGATAATCTTTATGTATTTATTTTCATTTCTAGGTTTAGCCTGGATTGCAATATGGATACTGATTGTTTATCCTTGGTCAGACTTTATTTTTTCTATAAATGGGACTTCACGCATTGCATTTTCGATGAATGGTTATGAATGACAATTTGAGTGCTTCTCTAGGATTTTTTACTCCTATGAATGCTTGAAGATTCATATCATTTTCTTCTTTTTGTTTAAGAATTCAAACACCTTGTCTTCAGGACTTGATGACAGCAATATGAGGAATTGCTTTTTTTGTTTTTATCTATCTTCCTGTGAATTTGTGTTGTGCAGCTTTTCATCTTCTTGAAGTAAATGGTAACATTTTAGCAATCAATAGATCAATAACAATACATAACTGATTTTATCTTGCTAATGCAAGTATCTCAAATTTATAGGATAATTTTTACCCCTCTTTGGATCTTTCATGCTGCTGTTGCAAGAGGAAGGTTCTCCTTACCAGCTCCCGCATTACCTCATGATCGTCAAGTATGCTTTGATTTACTTGTTCTCTTTTGAGAATTGAGCCTTGTCCTTGCACTGAATCAAACTTATAGTTATGGTAAATATGTGCTTGAACTGATCTTTATTGTACCCAGTGGGCACCTTGCCATACTCTTGTCGCAACACCACTACTTGTGGCCTTTGAGCTACTTCTTTGTACGTATCTCGAGAGCCTCAGAGGTAAATATTACAGATTCATGCACCAAAATATCACTCAATGCATTCACTGTAGAATTATCTCTTTAGCAGAATGAGTCACATTTGGTTGTTATAGAATTTTTGTTATGGAATGCATGGTAAGACCTTTCATTTAATTTACCATATTTATTGGTTTTTGATCCATGCCTCATTTCTTATTGTTGATTCATTTACAGTCCATGAATCTGCAGCCATGAGCTTAAAGATTGTTTTTCTTCCACTTTTGGCTTTCGAAGTAATTATTCTTCTTGACAACTTCAGGTACATTTTCACCTACTTTTTGCGTTTGAAGTAATTATTCTTCTTGAAGAAAGGTTCATTGAAGTTTTGACCGAACATAACAAGAAGGAAAAGCAAACTAATATATTTGGAGTTGGCTTTTCTTAGAGGCTTAAAGGTTCCCTATTTATCTTTAGAGACCACGTGTTGGATTTTCTTAAAAGCTTAAGTGTTCTGTTTTCCAGCATTGTCATGAATATACCATTTTGATTTTAAAGTTGGATTAGTTTGAGAATGTTGGTGCCTTCCACCCGATATATCTAGAAGTCTACTTCATCTTATCTTGCTCTGATTCTTGGAAATTGTCATTTTTTATTTGCAGTGGTCGTCATCCACATATGTATTCTCTTACCAATATTAGCGTTGTTCTAATGAATCCTTCTCCATTTGTTTTTGTTGAAAAACTTTGGAAACGTTTTCTTGAGTGCTCTTCAATCTGATCGTGTTGAGTTGGATAAAAAATGTCTTTTCCTATGGATACTGCTTGAACTGTTCTTATAATGTTTTCCAACTGTTTCTACATCATAATGTCTCCATTAATTTGTGTGTTTAAGGTCTTAGTGATGAATCAATCTGTTGTAAATACTTTTAAAGCCTTTTCTGAGCGTCACAGATAAAATTGATAAATCAAGAGGCCTCTGTAAATATCCGTTTATCCTTTTGGAAGGAAAATAAGCTCTTCTTGAAGTCTTCTTTACAATGTGGTAGATCTTCACCTTATAACTTCAAAAAGGAAAATAGCAAACTCATCTTTACATATTAAAAGTTACTTTTTTTCGAATGTGTGATTTCCTTGGTTTTCTGAACCAGTACGCTTTAGATGGGGTGTGATTGTTTTCCGAAGACCATTCTGTCATGATATACCCAGAAATCTTCTGGCATTTTGCTTCTCAATCTTGGAAACATTTTTATATTTTTGTAGGTGTACTTTCATCATCATCATTTTCATCAGTGGCCTTCTTGCAAACTCTCTTTACACCTTCTCCATTTATTTGATTTTTTTATGAACATGGTTGATATCTTGTAGGCCTAGATTAAGATATATTGATAGCACAAGGTGTAGAATTAGTGATCTACTTGCAGCCTAAATCTCTGTGGCAACCCTCTTTGCCCCCACTTTATCTCTCTCTCTCTCTCTTTATATATATATATAGTTATAGTTATAGTTATAGTTATGACTGCATCTTTTGATTATCTTTCCAGTTCTATTCCACATATTAGATAGCATAAAATTCCCTTTATATGCACTTTTAATGTTCTAGCTCTTAGTCTGTGTAATTTAAAAGTTCTTAATAATCAAACTATACTCTGGAAATAAAATGATAGTCTAGATGAATATATAACCGCGTCTCAAGTTATTCAACTGGCTGCTTTCGGATTTTAAGGCTTATTCACAAATACAAGTAGATGCATGCAAAATATGTTTGTGCATTACTCATATAATTTATGCATCCAACAAATTTTATCCCTTCATTTACTCCTGAATGCTGACAAACAATTGACCAGGACTAGCTGAGCAACTACTGATTTTATTTCCCAAAGCTAAATCCATTTATTGATGCAAAAAAGGTTTTAAGAAAATTCTTTGTTGCTTTGACGATGAAATCTACTTATGAATCGGTTTAGTATTTTTGTTCTGTAATCTAATTAAGAAGTGATAATACTTGTCGATTTCATGATCTTTAAAAAATGCAATGATTTGTACTATCCAGTCTGCATGTGCATCTATTTTTTATGAACTGGCGCATGAGCAGTTGTACTTCTAAATTAAATAGCAAAGCTATTTAACCTTTTTACAACTAATCGTATGTGCTCGATGTCAAAGAAATAAGATTTGCTGAAACTGGATTTAAAATCTAATTTAGAACACAAGCACAATGAATATACATATAATTTACTCTAGTATGGATTAGATGAATGATGATGCTGATACTGTTCATGGGAACTTACAAATTGTAAAATCTAAGTAGCATTTATAATCTGATTTGAGGAATTGATTTTTTTGGTGCCGTATTATTTTGTTTGCTATATGACATTTGTCATTTAATTCGGTAAAATCTTCCGTGAATTCTTTTTTCTTTTTTCACCTTTTATTCAGAATGTGTCGAGCTCTAATGCCCGGAGATGAAGAAAGCATGAGTGATGAGGCTATATGGGAGACACTTCCTGTAAGTTTATTAATGCTATATCTGCAGCCTTTTTTATATGTTCTTAGAGCTTTTAATGCGCTGATTTTCTACGGATGTACTCTTACTATCTAATGTTATAAATAGTTAATACTTTACATTCATTGAACTAACACTCAGGTGGGTTTCAATAGGCGCATTTTACTAGAGTCAGAAATTGTTTTGATCTATCAATGAAGCAATTGATCCATCTTTTTTCTATACTGATGAGAATAGACTTTATATTGAAGAATTCCCACAGCCTTCATTTAAGAAGCGTCAGGCAATATGGAAGGCGACGGATAATCAGCAGGAATGGGACCTCTGTGTCAGATAGAGGTTACAAATGCCTACTGCATCTGTTTGATTTTCCGGGAATTATGTACACACTGCTTTGTTGCTTTAGCATTCGTGCAAAATTCTTGTATTTTTGACTTAATTTATAAGAATTTATTGAATTTAAAAAATGTACAATGAAGCTAGGAAGCTACTATGGAATGAATGAAATTCCTAAAACTGGCTTAAGATGCCACGCAGGGTAATGAAATGCAAAATATGCAGAAAAAAAATTGAATGACAAATAATTTGACATATTCATGTCTCTTATGAGAAGTTGGCTGATAATCAGCTGGAAACGGCACCTAAAGGCAAATCAAACCATAAAATCTAGGGTTAATTTAGGACAAAGCATGCTGTCACAAGTTATAGTATCACGCCTTTTTAGACTAACAGCCAATGTTGAGAGTTTATGCTAACCTCGTAACTCTGATCAACCTAGAATACTGGAAAGAGAAGATAGTTGAGAGAAATAGAGTAGAACAAAGTATTATTGAAATCAACATCCAACATCCCACCATTCCTTTTTTGTAGTCAGATGTGGACATGAAAACTATAAGCAGTCATGAAGATTAAGAAATCAGTTTCATTTATCAAGACAAACACTCACTATTGTTGATGAGCCCTTGTATGTTATTATGTCACCTCAAATAATCAACCATAATGAGTATTGGTAGACCCAAACTTGAGCTGTTTGCTTGACATTTTTGTAACATATCGTGCAAGGCATTTTTTTGCAATTACAGCTTTTACTATTGATGACAATGAGGCTAACTTTGACCCATATGAACACAAACTCAATGTAGTTTATTAGAACCGCCTTCACTCAAGCTAGAGGTTTCTATTCAAGTTCCTTAAAATTTAGCCTATCCATATGGTCAAATTTCTACCAACAATGCAAGTCTTAACATGTTTGCTTTATTTAACTATAGCACAAAAACTGAATCTCTATTACATATATTTCTCACAACAAATTATCCTAAAATCAAAAGGAAGCAATAAAGTTTTATTCTTGTCTTTTACTTTTTTCTTTCATGAGTAGTTTGCAGTTACCATCTAGAAATGGATCAGGAAATAACATTGTTTCATGAGTAGGCTTGTTATCCATCGTTTGTCATCAAAGTTGGAAATGACGTTCCTTTTCAGAGTAGGCTCAATAGCCATCATCTTACAATTTTTGGCAATGAGAGAGAAAAGGCATTCCTATCCCCAATATGCTCTCATAGGCCAATTGAAATTGTTACCAATTGCTTGAGTTAGTTTTTTATGATAATTGATTCCCATTTTCCGAGCATCTAAAATTGAACAAATGAACACTGCAATAGGTAGCTGTAAATCTTTTACTCACTAATGAACACCGCAATCCCCCCTACTACAATAGCAAGAATTCCAACCCTTACTCTGTAACAAGAGGCAAACCTTGCCTCAACTAACTGAGCCTGGGGAACTTCAGAGGCTGTGGAACTTTTAGTTTACTATATGCAAATCACTTGGCAAGAAGACAGTTGCAAAGGTTCTCGCGGATGACTTTAATGGTATCAACTCCTCTTTCCTGCAGACAAAGGCATGCATGGGTTAGTTTAGGTGAGCCCCATCAGAATGAGAAAGGATGATCGCTGTATGGCCAAGTATTTAATAGAAGGTAAGGAAGAGAACAAACTCAGCTCGACGCATTTACACCCCTACCGTAGGTCCCATAGATAACAGTAAATTTTTTATCAACAATGTAACACCATCGATATCAATAGCCAGAGGTAGTGACAAAAGGATTGATGACAACCACACAAAAATGCGAGTGCAGGTGGAAGAAAATTTCTAAAAAATCTCCCAGATAAATAAGAGGCTGCTGCTATAGACTACTTCTGTGTGTTTGTGTTGAAGGTGTAGTTTGAATACCTTATGTCAATATGTTTCATTACTTTAATTCAAAATTTAATTATCTCATTTTATTCATACTTATTTTCCACCTACATTTGCCATATGCTTTGTTAGTTAATATACTTTTTTGCTTCTAAGAGCTTGTGAAATATTGTTCTTGTTTTGATTTAATTATCATTATTAATCCTATCCCAACTTTTTTTGGCAAATTCATTCTAATATTTTTCTTCACAATCGAGTCAAGTTGTGGTGTATGACTTGCAGATGACATTTAGTCACTCTTTGCACATTTGGCATCATTAACAGGTTAAGTTGTAGGCCTCCATTGACAAGTATGCCATAGCAACCCTTGCCTATTTTTAGAATAATTGGGTTTAGATTTTTTCTCGTCATTATTGAGGAATGCCATAGCACTTAAAATATTAAAATGAATTAATTTCATGAAATTTAGCATTTTATGTTTAGCTGCCGAACTAACATTCAAGTTTGAGATTGACAGAGTTGATTTTCTTATGTTTGATTTAATTTTTTTTTTTATCATTTTTATTTTTAATGTCATATAGCACTCTAAGGCTATCATGACTTTACGTATAATTTATAATAATTTGAAGATGACAAATAACTTCTTTTTAACAAGGTGGTTTGTTTTTATGGATCTAACATTTGTGATGGAATTTAGGGAATACCACTTCTTGGGAAAATAATTTCAAAATTATACAAACGTAGACAATGTGGCATTGGCTTGACGTTTGGATGCATATCATTCAAAACAAAAAATACAACTAGTTAGTCAATTGCTACACATGATATGTACATATTCTTTCCTTGTTTGAAATGCTTAAACATGTTATTTAATTATTTAAAGTTATTAACTTATTTAAAGTGAAATGTTTTGGTGCATGTATTTTTTTGTATGACAATTCAAAGCGGCTAAATATTACTGAAATAAGTGAAAAGTTGGAACAATTGTGAATACATTTAGCATATAAAGAGGTTAGGATTACCAGAACTAAAAATAATAATATTATAAAAATTTTAATGGGTGTAAATTTCGTGTTATATTAACATTTATCAATTGATTTTCTAGAGAAGTGATAGTTTTGATGTGATTTTGGGTTTAGGATATAATATATAAAAGATTGGAACATACATATATCTTTCAGATTGTAATAAAAAAAATGTCATGGCTGCGTGGAAGCTAAATTTTATAAAAGTGCAATTAAGCCAATTATATTGTGTGATTTTGAGTGTTGTGTAATAGAGCAATGATTAATGATTAAGTTTCAAAATTGATTATATTAAAGAGATTTTGAGGGTCTGTAATAGAGAAATCATTAATAATAATACAGAAAAGTGAACATAAAGATGAGCACATTGTCGAAACTAGGAAGGCAGTTTGAAAATTTATTATATTAAAGAGATGATGAAACTTGTATTTATTGAAGATATAATTTATGAAAAAAGACTTGAATGATTTGGGCATATACCACAAAAGATAGAATGCAGTCATAAGGCGAGTATATAAACATATCATAAAAGGATTAGTAAGGAAAATGGGTAATTGGTTTTGACACTTATATGCATCACCGTGATAATAAATAGAGAATGGAGATTTACAAGTGAGATCATATCTAGTTGGAATAAGACTAATTATTTTTTTCATTATAAATAATAACAGACATTAAGGCTAATTATGTTGATGATGCATGGTGATATTTAAACAGTGGATGGATTGGATTTATGTATAACACAAAATAAATGCAAATATTTTTGTTGACATTGAAATGGTTACAACGAAGTCTCTTCAAGACAGGAAATAAATGAAAAACTAACACGACAACAAGAATCTTCTTCTAGGGCGCGGTAGTTGGGTTGATTATAGGCTGGTTGGGTGCTGGTTGGTGGGTGGTGGTGGTAGCAGAAAGGGTTAGGAGGGGCTGTGATTATGCAGGAAGATAGTAGGATGGAGGGTAGATGGGTGAGTTACGGCAGAAGATGGGGGGAATAGATGGGGTGCGACAACAGGTTGGATAGGGCGGGGCTGAGGCAACAACAAATGTGTGAGGGAAGGTGTTACGGTGGTTGTTAGGTAGGTTGGAATTGTTGGCGATAGTTATGAGGATTGGCCTGGAGTGCGACAACAACAAGGTGTGAGGCGGGGGCTGAGGCAATGAAGACGGATAGGTAGTGCTGGAGGGTTGGCATGATAGGAGCAACTGCAGGTGGAGATATGGGAATGCACGATAGTAGCGGGAGGGATATTGGAATGGGTTACGTCAGCATAAGTTAATTTAGTGGTTTGCAGCTAGGAATCAAGAAGGTGGGGTTGCTGAGGAGAGGGCTTCGAGCATGGAAAGGAAATATGGAAAGATAACTGTCCCTATGGGAGCGAGTTATAGCCGGAGCACCCCTCAGATGACTTACAGTTGGAGCAGTTTCTTGCCCTCAGATATAGCCCTAGAAGGGGAAAACAATAGCCTATGAATATCTTGGATAGAATCTCAACTAAAATTAACCCTAGACAATGCAAATGAGCGTATTATAATAATAGATAAATAAGGAAGAGGAGGCCTCTCCCCTTGGGTGGTAAAACCAACCCACCTAGGGCTGACTGCATGCTAAACTAGCTGGTTCAACCCCTCCAGTCTCGCGTCAGTCTTCCGGGGTTAGGGGAACTTTGATCTCATTTGTCGAAGCTTCTGTATGCTTATTGTCGGTAATGAAGCTATTGTAACCTCTCGGGGCTAAATGATCTTCGACTGCAGCCCTAGTAGCTTCTGGATATCACTGTTGGCTCCACCGTCTCCCAAAACATCAGAGGAACTTCCTCTATTGGCGAGCATGCATTCTTATTGATACTCTTCTGGAGGTCCACTACTAAACTGAGTCTACGTGCCACGCGTATACTGTTGAATCCTTCTAAAATAATCCATGGTCGGCTCAACCTAATTTGAAGTTAGGGTAACTTGAACCTTCTTGAATGATGGTGGCCATGGCGGTAAAGTGTTGATAGTGATATCCTGAAATGCTCTCTGTCATGACTGTCCCGTGTTTGGAGTTTGTGTCTCAGTCCTATCATCCTCTGCCATTATCAAAACTGGTCCCACCGACGTGACTCTGCTGGCAAGGGCTCCGTCGAAGGAAGTAGGAAGGAGTAGTTGATTTTGAATCCTTGATGTTGAGGCCTACGATCAAATTTCCACAGGCTCTCTAACAAAAGGTGACAAACATCCATGCTGACCATGTCGCACCACACCTGATCTTGTAGTTGGTTCCCAATTGAAAACTCCAATAGGCACCTCCGGTCAATGTTAACCCTATTCTCCTTCTTCAGCCTTGTCAGAGAATATGGCCGGGATTGCTTCTGAGTCATAAGGTCGAACTTCTCCACCATCTGTGTAGAGACCACGTTCTTACTGTTCACTCCATCGATAATGAGTTTACATATCTATTTGTTCACAGTGCAACAGGTGTAGAATGTATTTTGATGAAGCCATTGTGAATCCCTCATATCATCAGTTTGTAGGACGTCATATCACGAGTATCTCACTTTCATCCGGTGAAAGATGATGCACCTCACCTTGTTCCTCAGCTGTCTCCTAGTCGCCAACCTCCTTCAAGGCACCCTATTTGGTACTCGGCTCGTCAGACTGCTGGAGGCAATGTGCCTAAATTCGTGACATTTGAAGTATTTTTTAGCTGGGATTGTCGTAAGCGTGCTACTTTTCTCAATCTTCTTCTCACTGGGGTGTCTCTATTGTTATCCGCACCAGCTTTCTCAACCCTTTGAGGGGTGCTTTTGCTAGTGTCTCCAATTGTGGGTGGGCTGCCTAACTGATGGTGGTTGTCTGCTTTGTTTCTATTGATTTTTCACTTTCAATGCTAAGGTCCGAACATTTCAAAATGATCAATAAAGTTGCAATTGGTAATTAATGGTGAGATAGGTGACAGTAGGATGGTTAGGTGCTGGTTGGTGGGTGATAGTAGTAGGAAGGGTTAGGAGGGGTTGCGATTATGGTAGGAAGATAGCAAGTTGGAGGGTAGATGAGGAAGATACATTAGAAGATGGGATGAGTAGATTGGGTGTGACAGTGGGTTGGATTGGGAAGGGATGAGGCAACAACAAACGTTTGAGGGAAGGAGTTACGGTGGTTGATAGGTAGATTGGAGCTGTTGGCAACAGTTTTGGGAGTAATAATTCATCCAATACTCTCTTTTTCTTCTCTAATCATTAAGGGTCGGTTTAAATTAACTTAATTATGTAATGGATTAAAACAAGATATTGTCTTCCATCTTTGACTTAGAGCGAAATGTCAAAGTTTGAATTAATGATCTTTAATATACCTCATAACCTATGTATTATTTTCTTTTTGTTATCCAATTTATGGTTAATATGAATGATCAATTGAGAAAAAAATTTCTCTCAACTAATTATTAGAAGGCTTAAATTAGTTTTTCATCTAATAATTTTTGTTTTCCATTAGAAATAAGATGTATTTTAATTATTGATCTAATTTAAAAAACGTTAATTTTTAGTACTTGATAATCTCTTAAACTAATTGCTTGCTAAATGCATTACAATTATATATGATACTAAAATAATAATTTTGAAATTATTAAGTAATATGTATTATGTAAAATCATTTTAATATTTTGTCTCGTATGCATTGTATATATAATTGAAGCTTGTTTGTTTGTCTATATAATTGAAGCTTCAGAAAGCCCTGATAAAATGTCTAATATGTGTTTCTTGAGTAACTTGTTCCAATGATAGTCGTATGAATGATACGTCCATGACTAATGGTTGGCAGAGACTTACACAGTGCTCTTTTTATTAAATCGTTCTTCACAGTGCTATATATTACAAAATTTCTAGGATAATAATGTTTCAAACAGCCATAATACCTCTTTTTTGGATGTTGAAGTAGCCAAAGCTTTTTTCATTCGAATTGAAATTAACTAACTGTTTGGGTTGACTTTCATATAGCTTGCAACGTTCAAAATCTTTTTTGTGGTTTAGGCTACTTGTTTGCAATTTAAATTGAGCCACTCAAAATTGTCAAGTCATTGATGCAAAATATAATTAAATTACTTGCTGGTATGTTGGTAAGTGCTTTGTGTAATGTTTATACGAGTCTTAATTTCCAAATTTTTCTTATGCAATTTCAAATCAACATGACATCTTGATTTTGAGCCACTAGCTCGTCCTGACATTAAATCAGATTTTGGGTCAACATAAACACATAAGAACTTAACTCTCATTGTTCTTCTATTTGAATAAATAATCATCCATGTCTGTTATTAACATTTGAATGCTGCAATGCTACTTTCTTTTCAACTTAATACGTACTTCATGATCTTCCTTTGATTTTGATTTTTTATTTAAGAAAGTTTAGTACTCATATCTCACATTTTGTTCTGTCTTGAATAATGCAGGATATTTACTTCACTAAACTGGCCACCTTTCTTAATGATTCATAACAATATTCAAGTTATTTTTCTACTTGAATTGTAAATATTAACAACCGTTTTTGTAATGCATTTCCTTACTTATCTAAGTTGCTCAATTTCTCATTTTACTTTTGTTGCTGGTTTGACCTGAATCATTGCTTTATATGTCCCAGCACTTTTGGGTTGCAATATCCATGGTGTTTCTTATAGCAGCCACAACATTCACGCTGCTTAAGCTTTGCGGTAATAAATTTTCATCTCCATTTGAAGTTTTAAATGTAATGCCTATCACATCAGTAGTACATTATAGTCTAATTTCCAACTACAGGCTTGCTTTTATGTGTTTATTAATGCATTCTTTGAACCTGGCAAGCATGTCAAAAGAAAAATAGTTTGTTTTTTTTTTTTTTGCTCTTGTAAAGGTATTAGTTGATTTACTTCCTTGAATAACACTTGCTTCAATCGCATTTTACTTTGAACCTTTTTTTGCCGTGTATGCTTTGGTGGATTTTTGATGTAGAATTCAATGGAAAAAGGAAAACTTTTGTGTTGAGCTTCTTTCACGCTTTCATTTAGATGGGTGGATTATTGTGGCCTTATTTTTGTCTTAATTTAAACCCATCAATTAACTAGTAGTTGTAGATTGAATCTGTATATAAGGTGATCTAACTTCTATAGGTCTTTCAGCCTCTATTTGGATTTCGTTGTAGTTTATGCGGCTGTTGAAGACAATATTTAGGTCTACCTATTTGGTTGACGAGTTGGATTTTGGCTTCGCCCAAAGTTTACCCGAACTTGGCCATTTAATATATGGGTTAAATTATTTGACTTGAACCTGCTTAACCCATTTATTAGTGGAATCTTGTAATTTTTGGTTTAACACGATTCAATTAACACAAAAATGGCTAATCTAACCTGACCCAATGTAATTGGCAAATCTTAGTTTATTCGAATCAATGCAAACACCAACCAAATAATGATCGGGTCTATACTTTTGCACAAATCTAACCAAAATAGTAAGCCTGTGGACTCGAAGTTGGATTTTTTGAGCTAGGTTCGGTTTGGGTCGGGTTGTTGGGTCGTCTTTTTTGGCACTCTTGGCAATTTTTTTAAAGCAAAATGATAAATTTAATTAATAGAAATTGGTTTGTCTCTACTTTAGTAGTGGAACTGTCTTAGCTGCTTTTTCTGAGGTAGGGCTATTGATACAGGGAGGCTTATCCTTTAGACTAGCACGTTAAAGTAAATCCCTAAGTAATGAAAAATATGGAGATATTGGCTGGCAGGTCAGCTGCAATTACAGACGTTGTTTGAGAACTACATCAGAAACATCAGCTAAAATATACATCTGAAGGGCAACAAATGACAAAGATAGACCTTTCTAGGGCTACCAACCGCCCAAACAAGATGAGAAATGTAACACATTTAACAGAGTCAGCTTTCAGGAAAAAAAAAGGTAAATTCTTGCCGCTGACAGGGCCATGAAGAAAGCCGACTTCCAAACCTGGCATCCACCTACATGTAAAAACATGAAGAGCTCTCAACACTGAAAACAAGCTATATAAGCAATAAACCATAGGTTCGAGGCACCTAAACAAAGCCAAACGATCATAATATAAGGGCAATAAAACATGGATCAACTGCTCACACAAAATAGCTGACTCTAGGAAAAAACTGGCATTGGTTTTGACTTTTGAGCACAATAGTGAATGGTATTAGGCAATCCAGAATGAATGAAAAAAACATAAAAATCAGGTTCATGACTTGATAAAACTAGATAAAACTGTTGATTAATATTCTGACAAAAATATAAGTAGTCTACTGATCATTACATAGATTATCACACCAGCAGATCTTATATGTACAACCACATCTGGAAACACTCGCAAAGAAGTAGTTGTTAAAAGATATATAGCATGTACAGAAACAGTATAATATGCTGATAAAAGATATTTAGTCAAGTATTTGATATAGTATATTAAGTCATGTACATAAAAAAGAATATCATATGTATGAAGATTATAATGACCAAATTTATCGTGATTAATTGAGATTAGGCTTAGTCTCTGTAAAAGTTATGTGCTTGAAATATCTATTTTGAAGAGTAGTCATCATGCAAGCAACAACAATGGACAAACTATCACAGAAAGTTACCAATTACCTATAGGAACCATATGAAATGGGGGAAAAACTGACAGAGAGACCCAACCAAGAAGTCTACCAACTGTTTATATGCATTACTGTTATATCATAACCTAAAGTGTTATAAGTGGTTCAGCTCAACCAAATTTGATATAAAAAATGTGCCTTCAAACTTTAAGTAGCAACATGCGGAGGGATCAGACAATTAATTCTAAATATTGGGTATCGAAGATAAGAAAACCTGATTGGCAAAACACAATTGACAAACTTACAGCAACTAAATAGAGTCTGCTAGCGATTACTTAAACAGGTACACCATATACCGGGATGTATTTTGATTAGAATGAAAGATATAATACATATTTTTATTACCATTCCACCTTTTAGATGATATAAATAGTACGGGAAACATTTAGGTATTTCTGTTCATTACCTTGGACTGATTTTGAGAGGTATGACAATGGAGTATAAATAGGCATGGTTTAAAAGTTCATGCTCAGTGCACATTACTCCATAGGCTCAGTACAGTTTTGATGTATCCAACTTTAGCTTTACATGACAAAAGAGCTTGTTTACAAGCTCATGACCTTCCGGGTTTTAAAGTAGCAATCTTAACATTTCCCCAAGTCCAACTACTAAGAATGTTTGGGGCTGGTTTTAATGAATTGTTGTCATGCGTATGATATGCTAAAATAGTACGTTGTTAGGTACATAACTATTTATATTTCATGTTTTTACTAAATTGTTTTGGCTTGCTAAATTGTGGATACAGGTGATGTTGGTGCCCTTGGCTGGTGGGATTTATTCATAAATTATGGGTAACTTTGATAAGCGCCCTTTGGCTGAAATCATTGCTGTTGTGAATTTACTGAATGTAATTTTTTATATTCAGAATTGCAGAATGCTTTGCTTTTCTTGTGTGTACCAAGTGGTCTAATCCATTGATACATGGACGAGGGCATTTTGCAGAAGCCAGCTCATCTTCTTCAACAATAAGATATCGTGATTGGAATAGCGGCTTGATGTTTTCTTCAATAGAAGATCAAGATCATGATAGGTTATGTGGCTTGCCAGATATAGGAGGCCATATTATGAAAATTCCACTTGTAGCTTTTCAGATTTTGATGTGTATGAAATTAGAGGTATGTATTTTTTCCACTTCAGTGATATTCTCTTTCCATTAATAGAACACACTAATCAATAGCAGCACATTGGAATTTAAGTTATACACTCCAGAGGGACACTTGTAACATGGTTGGCTTCATTGTTGATATGAATAAATTAAAATGTGAAATTGTAAAACATGATTCTTGAATTATTTATGAGGGTCATGTTCAATCTACTATATTTATCTCTCAAATTCAAACCATAATAGTTCTCTTACTACCTAATTTTGATTCTGGAGCATATTTGAGTAAAGGGAATAAATTGAATACTTTAAATAGTTGGGGCTAAAATAGCCCTAGAAAAATAGTTTTTGGACCCTTTTTAACATTTTTTATTTTTGACATCATGATACTAGAACTAGGTAAGGACTTATTGGCAACGCACAAACAAACTTTATCAATAATGAATTAGGGTTACAAAATAACTCAAACGGAAAAGGAAATACAATAATAGATTAGTCTCCGATTGGGGATGTAAGAAGAGATTCAAAGGTAGTGGTGGCAACGTTGAAGTGGTAGGGGAAGGGGGGGGAAGACGGGTGGCTGGTTTGTAGGGTGGTAGGTTGGAACGGTGTTTGGTGGGTTGTAGGTGAGCTTGACAATAAGGGTTATTGCGGGGAAGGGATGACAGGATGTGGGCAGATGACTTGGAGGTCTAGGCAACCTAGGCGGTTGTGGGGAGGAGTACGGGTGCTGGAATGAGGGGACTGGGTGACTGGCAGCAAGTTGTGATAATAGTAGAGGGGGCGATAGAGCTGTAGAGGGAGATGGGGTTGGCTGACGGCTAGGGTAGAGGTAGGAAAAGCGGTTGGGAAGAACATTGGAGAAGATTGGAAGGATACAACACGACCTCAGAGTAGGATAAAGTCGGAGCACTACCTGTCATCGGATGCAACCCTTGCAAGTGGGAAGAGGACTTCACACAGCAAATTTGAATGCAAACACAACCAAAGCTGCCCCTTACAAATAGAAAACAACAATTTATAGACTTCACACAGGAAATTTGAAAGAAACTCCCACACAAAGCGAAGAGGTGGGGCGGCAAGAAGAATCCAGAAAAAAATAACTATTAAAACTTCATATATCGAAAAGAGAAAAGGAAGGTTGGCAGTCCCTCCTACTCTAGAGATCGCGATCCCTTCTTCGTGCTCCTTCCCCTGGTCCGGTTTGCGGTTTTTATGGCCAGCCAGTTCAGCCGGCCGCCCGTGTCACATGATTTTCAGTGGAGAAGCCATTCCCAATAAATCTCGTCTTAATGTTTCCAGTTTCTTCAGTGTCACGCCCTTCCCTTACCTTGAACAGTTCCCTAGTATCATAGCTTCCCGTTGGATGCCTCATTTGATGCTTGCTTCTTCATGTCCGCAACAATGTTGATTTTGTGATCACAATGTAACGCCTCTGTCTCAACTTCCCATCACATTTTTTTATTGGCCCTGTTCCCCAACGCCTTTGCAAATCACACCTTGTCTGTCTTCTAACTGATCCACAAGATTCTGATTCTCCTTAAAACAACTTTGAAAACAGCCACCAATATAAATGCCATTACATGTCCTATATTTTTATATAGATTCAAGTCAGAAGGGCTTATAAGTTTGACTTCCTCATAGACATAATTCAGGTAGATCTATTGATGTCTGGATGTAAGTTGGAATAGATTTAAGGAGATCAAACTATGATTTATAATGACCTATGATTTACAAGGCTAAATCTAGAAGAAATCTAGAATTTACCTAGCGTAAGTTCAAAAGCCTGGGATTTACTTAATGTCCAATGAACTTAATTAAAACCATATGTATTGTTTATCCTATATATCCTGAATAGAGTGTGTTGGAAGTGTACATGCTTTATGCATGCATGTTGAAGACGTATTTTCAAGATTGATTTCAACTTAGTTGTTAACATAGGTTTTGTTGTACCTATTTTATTGAATGTTTTATAGGTTCAAAGCATTGTTTTTGGCAATTTAGACACATTGGGCATGGATGATAAGAGCTCAAAGGCATTGCATAATTATTAGTTATTCACGAGTTTGAGCATGGTTCAAAGAAAGAACTTCTAGTGTTGTTGACTTTTTTGAAAAGAAAAAAGACGTTAAAAAATGGCATGCCTTCCGTACTTATGTCAATGTCGAGTCTATATGCACCTCTCCTTGCAAAATACAAACGAACTATTTGGCCATTGCCTCGTGCTTAGATCAGTTGGTCGGGTATCTACTTGTTAGTTGTAAGTCCCCTTTAGTCCGGGGTTCAATTCCCCCTAGTGTAGGGTGTGGTACTCGAATTATAGGTGCATGAGGGATAGTCGAGGGTCGTATCATAACCTCCAGCCATTCCTTTAATTATTTATATAACGTTTTCAAAACCTCACCCGTTAGTATAAACTGCCTCAAGTGCTTCTTTTATTGAAAAAAAAAATTACATTAAGGTTGTATGAGAGGGCCCAAAAGAGGCACCCTACCCATACGATACCAAGTACAGTACGATACCAAAGAGAGTACCACCCCAACAAAAAGATACAGATAGACTCAAAAAATTTAAAACATGTAGAAAACAAATAGCTATGAACGAGTCAGTTTAGCCCAACATCTTCATGTGTGGAGCCAGATAATAAACTTTGAAATTTCGTGTCATTGCTTGGAGTAACCAAAGTATCATCCATTAAGGGCCCGTTTGGGGCAGCTTATTTGGTGCGTTGACATTTTCAAAACGCACATGGTATTTTTGGGTAAACTGCATTTTGACAGCTTATGCGTTTTCAAAACGTTGAAAACCTCATTTTCACGCTGCACTTATCTAGGTGCTGTGACAGCTTTTTGACAGCAGTTCGACTTTTCCAAAAAAATAAAAATTTATAATAACCACCGCACCTAGCTTATCAATAGATTATTTTTAATCAACTTATCAACAGATTATTCAATGAGCTGCAGCTGCTCCAAATAGGCCCTAAGTTTCCAAGTTGGAGTGTGCCCTCAACATTCTTCTTTCGTCGAGAAGTGTAAACCTGTCATTCTTCATCTGAAGACTTGCTCATGTGATCCTCAATCTTATTAGATATTAAAACAGCAGTATAAGGAAAGACAGTCATTGCCACAACAATAGGTTTCAGTGTATGTAAAGTGTGAATTGTCACCTCTGCAACTGATGCTTCCTGAATAGGAGCTGCGGGGCTATCCTAACTTTCAGTCTGAACATTATGCCTTATAGTATGGTCAGAAGATGGGTTCCCAGGGGCAGACACCATTTATTGTCTTGTGGTGATTCTCTCTTCAGGTTGACTGTCTTCAGGTTTGCTGAGAGCGAGTTCAGGCACGTGAGGTGCACTAATAACATGTTCCTGCTTTTGACTATTAGTTCTCAACTGTGGATGTAATCTGAAGCATTTCTCTTGCGTGTGTCCAAACATCTTGCAGTGCTTACAGTAGTAAGATTTTTGTTCCATAATGATTTTTTACCAATAACCATTGTGAGCAGAGTCAAACCAGACTTCTTCTACATCTGGTAGTGTAATATCCTTTTCAATCAAAATTTTTGCAATAGAGGGCCTTGAGAAATGAACTGTAGGTGTGTCTATCTGCAAATGTTTTTCAATGATAGTACTATTTGCATATAAGGTATGTAGATCAAAGAATTGAAGTTTGAGTTCATGTAATGAGAACCAGATAGGCGCAATTGGGGGTTCTTGACTGGGATCAAAATCAGGGGTACATTTGAGCAATTTTATATGATTGCACTCGATTGTGATGAATTTCTTTGAGAAAATTCTTGTGGGTTATGTTATTCCTCTTAGTGACTCCATTTTATTCAGTATTCACACATGAACTTATAGAGATGATACCATGCTCGGAAATATAAGGATCAAGAATTTAATTAAGATATTTTTTTAGCATTATTAGTTTTGAGAATTTGAATTTTGCTTTGAAATCGAGTAAGAATTATGAAATGAAATGATTGAATTATAGTTGTTTCAATTTTTTCTTTCGTGAGAAATATCTAATTAATTATAGTATGATCATCTATGAAAGAAAATGCCGTGCTTAATATTTTTTTTTTCTTGAGAGGGGCCTCAGACATTGCTGTGAATTACAACGAAAGGATGTTAGTGTTTTTATTGTAGTTTAGTGTATACATGTCTAGTATGTTTGGTAAGTTGACACGTTTCACATTGATAGAAATTAGACTTTTTATTGATAAACTAATGTGGAAACATTTTTCAATACAAGTAAAATTTTGTTGTCCAAGTTGACAGCCTTAACATATTTTGACTTTAAACGAAAACAAAATTAAAATTGGAAATTAGATTAACATAATTTAAACTATACTCAGAAATACAATCAGATCGATGAAATTGTCTACCGATGGGATTATTTCTTTTGAGCATATATAAACCACCATTTATCTAGCACTGCTAATCATCTTTCCTGAATCCACTAGCTGAAAATCACAAAATATTAGAATAAAATTTAGTCACATTATTTAAGTCATAAGTAAGTTTGTTGATTGACTAGATTGCAGTCTAATTTTGGAACATAAAGACCAAAGTAGAGGTGAAGATTTTGTTTCATTCTACTGATCTCGTTCTTGCTATTGATGAGAATGAATTGTCAGATATTTGAGAAATAGAGTGACTGATGCATGTGTTGTAATTTTTGAAGATATTGTCCACTGACATATAATCAGAGGCTCTAAAGTCGACCATCCATGGTTTTAATTTATTATTTTTAACAATAAGAGCATGTGGTAAGATGAAGTGGTGTGGTAACAGACTGATTAGTTGCTTGGTAAGGGATTGGGATGCTTGTGTTGAACTGTAACTATGACCTAACATTTTCTGTAGTGATTCAATTTGCTCCATCGTGAATGGACTAAATATTGCACTATTGTTGGTTGTAATTGTAGTATTGCACTAAATATTCCATTGGATGGTTTCCATTATGTATGTTATACTTGTAATTTTCAACATGTTTTCTTCACATGACC